ATATAAGATGGAGCTTGGTTGTTAAGAGCTTTGTATGTTAGGAGTAATATTTTAAATTCTTTCTAAATTTGACAGGGAGCCAGTGGAGAGAAGCTAAAACTGGAGAAATATGATCTCTCCTTCCAACTCTCATTAAAACTCTAGCAGCAGCATTTTSGATTAACTGAAGACTTTTTAAAGAGTTTTTTGGATGTCCAGATAATAAAGAATTACAGTAGTCCAGTCTAGATGCGATAAATGCATGAATCAGTTTTTCTGCGTCATTTTTGGACAAAATGTTTCTAATTTTAGTGATGTTACGCAGGTGGAAGAAGGAGTTCCTGGTAACATTTTTAATGTGGGGTTAAAAGACATATTCTGATCAAAAATAACACGAAGGTTCTTTACATTATTGTGGTTTGGTAGATGAACAAATCGTGGTGAGACGTTTACATACACTCATAAACAAGAACACCATATGATATTTTGTGACTGACTGAAGAGAACCAACAAGTTTTAGTGTTTGTTTCTATAACTTCCTTGTTTGCTACGACATCATATCCAGGGTATAACCAAGTTTTCTTTAAACGTTGTAAGACCACATGATTCAGGGCCGTTTTATTCGGATCTCAAAGACGGGTGTTTGGGTTTGGTCAAAATGGACCAACGCTGAATCAACGTATGTCTGCAAATACATGTTCGAGTCTGAAACCAGAATCGATCATATGCCTAATTCAGTCTTTCAAACGCACACGTTACTTTCAGTAATTTGGAGTTTTTATTTGGTGGGGTTATTTTTTCAATCGCCCTTTTTTCAACTGCCCTCATAAGTGGTGTCAAAGTTTCTAGAATGTCTTTTAACTTGACATGACTAACGTCTCTTAAATTCGTGACTGACTGCTGATGATATGTGTCTCCTTGCATGTATGTAAACTTTTGACTGAAGATGTGACAAGACTTTTAGTGTAATTTTAATAATTGTTTTCCTGTCAGATTTCTTCTTTGCCAAGTTCTTTAATTTTTGTTAAAAGAAAAAAAAACGCTCACTTGTCCACAGACTTTTTTTCCCCCCGTTTCGTCTGCGACGCCAAAGTCGCCCATGTGTGTTTCAGTGTCAGAGGTGCGAGTGGAGGTGGAGGCAGCCTGCTGTGACAATGCATTTCCTGCATTCCTGCATTTTTAATTTTCTCTTGACGAGCACAGAAATGGGAAAGGAAGGAACAGGGGAGGTGTTAAGGGAAAGAAATGAGAAAGACAGATGGAGGGGGGAGCGTGCCAAATAAAAGGTGATGTAATTGGACTGTGATTTCCTGCATTTGGTCTGCTCGCCGCCGCACGTGTTCAGGTCTGCTAGACAACATTAACTGCAGACAGTTTATTCACTGTAAGAGTTCAGGGTTGTTTTTTTCTACGATGACTTCTTATTAATGAGAATAAYGCTCATGTACGACGTTCAGGTTGGTCAGTTATTAAGTGTCTGCAGCAGTTTTCAATTTCATGCATAATCACACTTGTTGAAGTCTGGAGAGAAAAAAAMMCCCGAAACGAATAAACAGAACGAATGGACTTCTGTTTTGTTGTTGAAGACATTTTGCTTCTCATCAGGGAAGCTTTCTCAATTTAAAAAATGAAAGGTAAAAAAAAAMCCCAAATACAGCCAGTTTATTACACCACACATGCAGCCTGGTGATTCTCAAATGACTTTCTCTGAAATTATTGCTCAAGTCTGACCTTAGAAGTTACCAAATACGTTAAAAAGATTAATAATAAGAAGAACAAGACTTGTGTCGTGCATCGCTTGGTGTTGCGTAATTTTTCTTCTTCTCAGAAATCTACTTACCATCTCCTTCGCACTCTCCCAGACACTAATCTTTAGTTAGTGCCATACCATGTTTTTTTTCTTGTTACCATGGGAACTCTTGTCCTTGCTGTACATATTTCAGTTTCTCCTGCTTTTTGTGCCAGAAATATTTTTGAGGCTAGAAAAAGTGAAACTGGTTGCTGCTGCCTCACTGTAAAGTAATCTCTGCTGTAACTCTTTCATTTGTCATTTATTGATGGTAACAACTTCTTTTTTTATTATTTATTTATTTATTTATTTATTTATTTATTTATTTTGTTTTGTTTTGCTGTCAGTTTCTCTGTGATACTAAAGATTTATTATCCCTACAGAAGGCAGATTATTATATAATTGTTTGCAGTGGTGGGCACAGTTCCCCTAAAGCACTGAAGCACTAAAAGGGTAACTAATTTCCTGATTAGTGCTTTAGGGCTTTTGCTAATTTCTTAATTTATCACTGGATTAGCACTTGCTAAATTAATGGGCTAAATTTATAAGCACTAATTGAGTTTTTTAAATATTGTTGACCAACATTATTGTCAACAGCTGAGGGTGAAAGCTGTCAGACATGTTCATTTGTGTGTCACTTATTCACTACATTTTTGCTTCTGGCCCACAAAATAACAGTTGCAGACACTCGTGACCCTAGATATTAATAATAATATTATTTATTTTCATTAAAAATAAACAAAATATTTCATACAATAAAACAATACAAATCAAATAAAAATGAAAGGCAGCAGAAGAAGGAAAAAATTCTTATGATTTTTATGATATTACTTGTTTATGTCTGCAAACTTTGCTAATAACTCTGTTAAACATGGGAATAATAAATATAAACAAACCTAGTAACTATGATACACATTTTTATTCATTTATGATTATTAAAAAAATTGCAATAATCATGATGAAAAAATTCCATTAGCATTTTTTTTGCATTTAAATTGATGTCATCTGAAATCATAGGGACCCTCACTTGATATTTTGTGACCCACAAAGAGGTCCTGACCCCAACTTTGGGAACCACTACACAAGATGAAATATTAACAATGTTAACAATAATTAATATAACAATATTATCAATATTCTGCACACAGTAAATAATATCTCATGTTGATTCTGAGGAATGTTCCATGGGTCAGCTTGGATTTTAGTGCTTTAGAATTAGCTGTTAGTGCTTTAGAATTAGCTTTTGCTAAGTTTTTAAGTAAGTTAGTGCTTTAGAATTAGGGGACCTAAATATTAAAGTTAGTGCTTAAGTGTTATGGGATCTAAATATTAAAGTTAGTGCTTTAGAATTAGGGGACCTAAATATTAAAGTTAGTGCTTTACGGTTAGTGCAAGTAATTTTTAGATTAGTGGTGCCCACCACTGATTGTTTGCATCTGTGTGTCTGTTAGGAAAACATCTCATGAGCCACTGAATAAATGATAATAAAACTTTCAGAAAGCAAWCCCTGGAATCTACAACGGATTARGTTTGAACCTGGTTCAAGATGGCCGCCATGGCTAGCCAACTTTAGCAAACACACAAAAAAGCTATAACTTAGTTTCACAGACACTGAGCTGATAATTGGTGTGATAGTAGCTGAGAATCATCTCTAACACAAACAGATCACACTAGATCTTTGTTCACAACTTTCTACATTTATCTCTTTTGACCCAAACTTCCCTCACAGTGAGKATGATGATGATTCCAGTCAGTGTTTATGTTCCTATCAATAACTCTGATGAGGCAGGGTATGCTGAGCTGCACAGTGAGGACAGGGATTGTGGGTAACTGATTGTGACAGACTGAAAAAGGAAAGGATAAAATTTTAACATCTTTTCCTCACGGACCAGCTGAGGTTTTTGACTTGAACCTCGTTGATATGCATAGTTCTCTTTAATCACAGAGAGAGAGAGAGAGAGGACGCTGGACCGGCGTTTGCTCAATAAAAGTAGCGGAAGCTGAGGTCAGAGTTTGTGAAAATGTCTTTTTGTTCGCTTTTTGTGACTTSAGTTGCTCAGGCTGCTTTGTCAGAATAAATTGTCCACGCTTTGAAAGAGGCCACACCGAGCCTGAGACAGTTGCTTTGTTGGGTTCCTATTTCTGAGAATATTGCATTTGCCACAGCGAGGCGGAAAACAGTCTCCGTTTAAACTTGAGCAAAGTTTTTAAACTTAATTGTAGGCTTGCGTTTTCYTCTTTTAGCCTCTCTTGGATGCACTGGAGGAACTCCCGGAGTGGTACGGGGTCAAAAGCATGCAGGCGAACTGGCTCGGAGAGTGCACYGGCTGCTACTTCGATTTCAAGCTCAAGGTAGATTTCAGCTCTTTTCTTCTCAACTCACTTTTTAATCATTCGTCAATCTAATTTTCCKTCAGACTCTCTGTGTTCTTACACCAAGCATTTCTCTCATGTTTTCAGTGGTTGTGTCCATCAGCTGCTGGTCATTTTTCCAGTAGATAATATGGAGGRTTAGTTTAGATGGACTTGTTTCTGGTAGAATGAATATTAAAGGGTCAAACTAAACCATAAAAATGGTAAATGGCTTGAACTTATATAGTGCTTTATCAAGYCCATATGGACCCCAAAGTGCTTTAACACTTCATTCATTCACACATTCACACACTGATGGTGATAAGCTACATTGTAGCCACAGCTGCCCACACTGACAGAGGTGGGGCTGCCATGCACCGGCACCACCGAACCCTCTGTCAACCATCAGTTGGYAAGTGAGTTAAGTGGCTTGCCYAAGGACACAACTACTGTGACAGCTAGAAYGAATTCTCTTTGTAGTCCACTTGTAAATCTTTGAGGCTTGATTTGTAGCGTAAAGCCTTAAAATCAATATTTGTACCAAAGTCTCATTTCAGCCTTGTTAAAGCCTATTTGTTCGAGTTTCTGAGGTATTTTGACCGCTGCTGCTCCCTGCTCTGGTAACAGTATGCAGAGTGAGCGCAGAGCAGAGGAGGGGGAGAAAAAAAAGAAGCTGTGACCACGACTCTGCC